GCTGACTATGGTAAGCATTTTGTCATGTACTTGCCCTTGTGTATCATCTTTGGTGAATATGTCTTTAGTCCTTTGCCAGTATTCTCGAGAGGTTTATTTTTGTATTGTTGATTTTTGAGAATTCTTTATATAGCCTGTATACTTATTCTATGCTTTGCAAAGGTTTTCTCTCAGTTTTTGGCGTTTCATTCTTCTTAGGATTTCCCATATAGAGATCATATTGTCTAGGAATAAGGACAGTTTTACTATGCATTTCCAATCTTGATGCCTTTACTTATTTGTTACCTTACCAAACTAGTTAGACTTTCTAGTATAGTGATGTATGGAAAGGTTGAAAGCAACTTTGTTCTCAACTCTAATGGAAAAACGTTCTGGATTCTTACTATTAAGTTTGTTGTTAGTTTTGGTTTTTCATAAATACCCTCTATTAGTTTGAGTAAGTTCTCATCTGTTCTTAGTATTCTGAATGCTTTACTTATGAATTGATTTTAACATTATACACTGCAGGGAAGCGATGGCCAGCGTCTCATTGTGGGGTTCTTCTTCATGCCATTGAGGGCATAAGCCACCTGAGAAATTAAAGTCTAAAAAATTAGTGAAGGGGCTGAGGTTGTGGCTCAGCAGTGGAGCACTCGCCTAGCACGTGAGGCTCTGGGTTCGATCCTCAGCACCACATATGAGTAAATAAATAAAGGTATTGTGCCAACTGCATCTAAAAAATATTTAAAAAAATAGTGAAGAACAAAAGACAAAAAGGATAGAAATATATTTCCAAAAATGGAGCCCTGATAAATCCAGTCCACACAAGAGGCTGAGTTAGACAAAGAAGGATGGCTCCAGGGGTTTACTCAAGGGAGGACATCAAAGGCAGGGATGAGGTTTCAAGGGCGGAGTCTTTCTTGGTTATATCTTGCAGTCAGCAAGTTGATTGACATCTTGACAGGTCACACCCATCTCAGGTGCTGTTTGGGACAAGGCAGAGCAGGGTAGGAATTCATAATGTGTGAGGGCAGTTAACCAGAGCACATGTCCACTGCCTTTCCCAAACCCTACATGTTCCTGTTTACTAGGCTTCATGTGTGGTGGCCCACACGCAGCCCATGGATGACTTGCAGCAATATACCACCCAGGACTCCCACAGTCCCTCTTAGCCATAGTTTATAATTCTTGGTAGATTGTGCCTCATAATGTTCTGACACATTCTGATTAATTCATCAGGTCAATGTAAAAGCAGAATATGCAACCTGTATTGCTGGCAGCAACACAGATCTAAATCTGTTGCCACATCTCAACTCCAGTTGAGGGTAGGGACAGGCTTATAAAACTAAAAACTGCAAAAAGTGGGGACAGAAGATGCAACTGTAATCACAAGATACATTTCAAAAAAGTGGAAAATTATCAGGTTTTATATCAAAGAAAGTCACATCCTCAGAAATTACATTTTCAGAAGGGAGGAACGAGAGGTATGAATTTATACAGCTGTGCTGTCAAAACAGGAACTTGTGGTTAGGAGGCGTAGGGGGCAGATGTGGGCACCAGGTGGGAGGGGGCCAACTTCATATAAGGTGGGGTATCTGAACAAAATGGGCTAAGTCAGTGAGGAGTTTTGAAGTCAGCCCATAACAATCAGTTTTGCTGGTATGTTGTTGTTTGTCGCCTGTGTTCATGAGGGATATTGGTCTGCAGTGTTCTTTTCCTCCACTGCCTTTGGCTTTTTATCTGAATTAAAGCTTAGTGATCCTTAATGGCTTTGTAAAGCCGACTGGACCTCGGCTTTTCTACGTGAGATGAGTTTGCACATAGTATTCCTGAAGTGTTCCTAATTCAGTTACAAGTTCAACTTCTGTAGTTACTATACAGCCATTCAAATTTTTAAAAACTCTTTTCCTGTTATTTATGTCTAGACAAATGCTGATTCAAGGGACAAATGCCTAGTTATCGCCATCTATCAGAGCTGGTGACCTAATGCTGGGTTCACAAAATATGACTATTCCAATAACTTAAGAAAATGGCATAGAAAGCACAGAAACAGAAGAAGTACACTTTCAAAATCTGGGATGGCTCTGTGACCATAGAGCTCTGTGGAAAGAGACAGAACCACTGGAATTCTTTATTCTTACACAGGGGATGCACAGGGGGAGGTTCCATGGAATATTCCTTCTATCCCAAAAAGGCCAAAGGAGTAGGATTACAAAGCAACAGGTGAGTGTAGCTCAGCCCTGTTGGGTGACGCCCACTCCTGGAGCCCACCTTCCTTATCCCCCAGTGTATTGTGGGTGCAATGACTGTTCAGTACCCTTTACTCAGGACTTCTGTCCGTAGTGGCTCCCAATACCTAGTCTTGCCTGCATCCCATACAGGTGGTGGAAATGGGGTTCCCCTTAGTGGAATGGGGTGGCTGAGAAAAGCTAGGAAAAGTAGAAGAACAAAAAAACCACAGAACACAGAAAATAATTTCAAAAGCAGGGGCGGGACTGGCAAGCCTATCACATGGATTGAGCTTCTAGACCACTGGTGAAGTGGAGCTTGTGCTTGCTTTATTTATATTAGGAAACATCAAAAACTCTCCATAGAATTTCCTTCACCAAAAAAGGTTAAAGGAGGGCTGTCCAGTTCCCAACGGTTACACCCATCTCCAGAGTTGCTATGAGGGGTCTTCCTAGGAGAGTGGACCTAAAGGTCATGTGCGTTGGGCAATCTATTGCCACAGGAGAGCCATGATAGTTTGCGGTGCCAAACCTAAATCTCCCCAGCTACCATACCAAGAGAAGACCCTCAAGTAATTCACAGATGGCTTCCTGCAGCCTAGAAATATAATTTTTTATGTGGGGGTATTTTCATGTATCTATTTTTTGTTTATGGCATAAAATTGTTTGTGATATTATCTTGTAAACCTTTCAATTCTTGATGATGTCATCTTTCTTTTTTGGGTAACTGGGGGGCACTTTACCACTGAGCTATGTACCCAGTTGTCGGGGGCCATCCTGAGCAGGAGTAAAGCACCCCCGCCCCATCCCCGGCCTTGAGTAATGAAGGTATTGAACTGGCATCGCAGGTCACATGTGGGAGGCCAACCTTACACGTGACTGAGTTACATTCCCCAGCTGGGTGCTGAGGTTCTCAGTTGTAGAAATGTGGCACCCTTCTTGGGTGTGTCTTGCTACAGCCCCATGGGTGAAGCTATGCTCACCTGTTCCTTTGTAATATAACCCCTTGCCCCTTTAGGATAGAATTTTCCATGGAAGTGTCTTGTGTGTGTCCCCTTCTCTTACTGTGCCCTTGGGTGTCGCCTACCCAGGTGTCAGTCAACCTGCTGACAGTGGACATCATGAAGATACTCAGCCCCCTGAAACCTGACCCCTTGCCTCATTTGAATAGCTTCCCTCAATAAAAGGGGTCAGCGTGTGCTCTCTCTCTCTCTCTCTCTCTCTCTCTCTTTCTGTGGACCCTTAAGGTCAGAGGAGCCGTCACAGCGACCCCAAAGAAAAAGGTATTTGTGTCTCTTGTGTGGTTATTTCGTGCAGCCCAGTTAGCCCAGTTTACCTGGAGTGACCCCTGAGCCTTTTAGTTGTGAGAACAGAAACCGGGCAGTCACACGCTGTGCAAAGCAAGTGGGCCTTACCTTTACTCTGCAAGGGAGTCTTCAGCCCTGGACTTGAGTGTTATCCAGTGGGATTGGGCCATCTCCCTTTCTGAAATGTTATCCCCTGCCTTATTTGGTGGGATATTCTATCTAATATCTTTTCCCTAATAAATACAGGGGTTCTGGATGCACTCTCTCTTTCTAGCACTGTCCAGCGTGGAGCTGACCCTTAAGGTCCCAGAGTAGGCCCACCCTCCACCTGAGAAACTCATGTTTGTTGATGAGTCCTTGGCTTCCCCTTTCTCAGTTTATTCCTGCAGCCAGCTCCTGGGAACCCGGCTCATCTCGCCAGCCCTGCCAGCTGCCAGGATCCAGCCTTTTTAATGTTAATTTTGAGACACACTCTGGCAAAGTTGCTGAGGCTGGTTCAGAACTTGGGGTCCTCTTGCCTAGCTCCTGAGTGGTTGGGGTCACAGGAGTGCACCACCACACTCAGCCACCCGCTTATTTCTGCTTTTAGCTTTTGTTGTAGTGGGGACCAAAACCCGGTATCTTCAACCACACGACCAGCACGCTAGCTTCATAATAGAGGTTTGAAGCATAAAAACTAACTAGTGAGTTTTAAAATTAAAGAGACATGATTCTCGTTACCTTTATTGCCCAGCTCAGAGATGGCTCCTCCTAGCTCCTGCCTCCAGCCACCTAATGCGGTGGCGAGGTAAACACAAGAGGCCAGCTAGAGAGAGAGAGAGAGAGAGAACACGCCAGGGAGTGAGCTTTTATTGGGGAGCAAACAATTCAAGGGAAAATTCCATCCAATGAAGGTCGAGGGGGGCAGCATTCCAAGGTCAGGGTCAGTGATTGGTCTTTGGGTCAGTGGTCAGGCACACCTCCACATGGACAAGCCCTGGCACCTGGGACAGGGTGGGGAAGGCTCTGACACAGTGTGTCTAAGTGCTTCTCACCTAGCCAGGGAGGTAACTCAAATCATATGTGAGAATGGCTTCCCACAAGGTATGCAAGCAAGTGCTGTGCCACTAAGCTGCACTCCGCACTCTCACAGATTTGGGGTTTTTTTTTTTCTTTTTTTTTTTCCTGACCTAGTTAATTTTTTTCTTGGTTGCTCTAGTTAACATTTCATTTTTTTTTTCAAGTAAATACATTTGGGTTCACTGACTTTTTAAATTACTTTTTTGTTTTCTAGTTCATTGATTTCCACCTTTGTCTTTATTAGTTTTTTTCAGTCTGCTGCTTTGGGTTTCACTTTCTCTTTCTATAGTTTCTCTTGAGAAACTATAAAGTTTCTCAAGTGGGAAAGTTAGAGTAGTGATTTGAGAGTGCTGATATGATCTTTTTCTTTTGATTTAAAGCTATGAATTTCTTTTACTATTTTAGGAGTATTTAGGTAATGCTCTTATTTGTTTCTAGTCAGTTTAAATATTGTCCCATGTGATTTTCTTTTTAACACAGGGTTGTTGGGAGCCGCTCTGGAAACATGCCCTGAAGTCCTGAGCAAGAGAAACTGAACACTTTTTGCCGCCCACAGTAACTTGGGCTCTGCCTCAGCTCAGGTAACGAGGCGTGGCTCCAGGAGTAGGCATCACCTGGTGGGGTTGAGCTACACTCACCTGTTCCTTGTAGTCCTACCCCTTGCCTCATTTGAATGGCCTCCCCAATAAAACTGGGTTCGAGGCTGCTCTCTCTCTTCCTTGCCTGCCTTGCGTCCTTTGTGGGAGCTGGGTCAGAGGAGCCATCCCAGAACCAAAGAAAAGGCATTTCTCTGTCTCTGTGTGATTGTTTCTTTTTCTTTTTAAGAGAGAGAGAGAGAAGAGAATTTTAATATTTATTTATTTTTTTGGTTTTTGGCGGACACAACATCTTTGTTAGTATGTGGTGCTGAGGATCAAACCCGGGCTGCACACATGCCAGGCGAGCGTGTACCGCTTGAGCCACATCCCCAGCCCCTCTATGTGATTATTTCATGCCAGCCCCGTTCACCTGGAGTGACCCTGACTGGTCATGTGTCACGACACATGATTGTTCAGAACTGATCTCTTTGGGTTAGGTAATGTGATGTCTTTGGGTTAGGTAATGTGGTCGTGCCTGTAATCCCAGCTGCTCTGGAGGTTGAAGCTGGAGTATTGAATGTTCAAGGCCAGCCTGGGCAACTTAGCAAGACTCTTTCAAAATAAAATATAAATAAATAAATAAAAAAGGACTGGGGATGTAGCTCAGTGTTAGAGCGTCTCTGAATTTTGTCCCCAGTAGGGTGTGGGGGCTGGGGGTTGGGGGTTTGGCGGAGATCTGGCCAGAGGAGTGTACTCTTTAATATCTAAATGCTTGGATATTTCTTAAATTTTCTCCTGAAGTATTCCTAATTCAATTCTGTTGTGGTTGGTAAATATATTGGATTTATTGGTACTTGCTTTACACCCCTAGCATATGATCTTTTGTGGAAAATGTTATGTGCACTTTTTTTTTTTTAGCTATGCATGACAGTAGAAAGTATTTTGGCAGAATATACACACCGAGTGTGACTTATTCTGTGTAGGTCCCCAGTCTTGTGGTCGTGCGTGGTGTGGAGTTACCCTGGCTGGGTATACAGATCCCAGGCTGGGGAGTTAGGTTCTGCTGCCTTTCCTAGTCCCCTCCCCTGCATGTACTCTTGAAGTTGGATGTACAGCTTGCTGCTGATGAGTGAATGTGAAATGTAAGTGAAGTTGGTACTTTTCCAGTCTCCTGTGTCCTGCTGACTTTCTACTTGCTTTGTTTATTATTCAGAGTGAGGTGCTGCCTCATTTTTGGTTTGTCTGTTTTGCTTGTCAATTCTGTCAGGTTTTGCTTCCAGTGTTCTGGTGTTCTCTTGTTAGGTGTGTTTGGTTTGATGATCATCATGTTTTCCTCATCTATATCTTTATAACTTTATTGCCAAATAGGAAAAGTCATCCAAGCCTTCATGTTCAGAGTTCCTGGGGTCTCTGTGGACATAGACTTGATTGGCTGCCTGCACGGCTGGCCTTTAGTCTCCAGCCTTGCAGAGGTCTAGCTGATAGCACTTGGTCCAGGACCCCTACCATAAATCACCTTGTTGACAAGGACTCCCTCCCAAGGGCTGAGCTGCCTGGGTTAGCAAAGACCCTTATCAGGTCTGATCAAGCAAGATATTCTAAGGATTCCAAGGGCTTAGGTATTTCCTCACAGGAACTAAGGGCCAAGCCTCTCTTATGTAAAGTTAATCCTTTGTTGCACAATATGAAATCAGACGATCTTTCAAACTAAGAGTGTGTTCCTATGGAATGTACAAAGCCTTGTGAAGTGGTACATGCACACACCTGCTTTTTAAAGACAGAATGCCTAGATCCTTAGAACCTTTTGTATCTTCTTTCCTAAAATTGATCTCCCTGAGAATTCACCTGCCTCTGAGGTACTGTGCTCTGCCCCTTGTGTTGTTGTGTTTTTTTACTTCCCCTTAGTTGTCATCAACTTCTAATTTGCAAAAGAAGCTTGTCTTTCAATACAGTAGTGCCTTGTTATATTGCCCCAGGGTGTGAATCCTTTGAGGTGCAAAGTAAAGGCAAAGTGTGAAATACTTGTGTCCTTTACTTAAGCTAAATGCACAACAACAGGGATAACATCTGGACCCAGGGGGAATATACACTTAAAGTCAGTTTGCTCTTCGGCCCACAGGTCTTGCTCCACAGAATCAAGAAGAATGGAGGAGAAGAATGAAGGGAGAAGGAAGAACTCCTAGAGTGTTACCATTTCTAAGGAACCTTAAACTGGATGCCAAGGTTTCTGAACATAGTGAATGACTCCAGGGCTGTAGTAGAAGAGATATAAAATTTAGAATCCTGTTATCCATCATCTCCTGGGTATAGAGGAAAATGATTGAGCCTCAGGTGACTTTTTGATTTTTGTTGTACTTTTCCTTTGTTTTCTGATAGACTTCTGGAAGCCTGGAAAAAAAAATCTGTTCAACTGAAATAATTATAAATTGAATAATTGGGTTCTGGGGAGAAATTAACTTTGAACTAACTTCAAAATTGGGGTCAGGAATATACTGTTCCACTAAATGACTTACTGTTTCGAACATAATAATGACTTGGTGGGTCCTGCAGCTTACAATAGATATCACCTCGCATCTAACATCTCCAAGAGCCATCACAACCAGAAAAACAAAATGATGTGTATTGATTTTTGGGAAAAAGCAGACCAGTCTCTTAGGAAATTTCCTTGCTGGGGTTTCAGAGATGATCTATGGACATGGAAGCTCTCTTTAACCCAAATCTTCTTAATCAGTTTTAATGATCTCTTATATTTTAGACAAATCTTGTATAATTTTTTTCTTTAACATTTATTTAAAAGCACTCTTATAAATTTAGAATATGGAGTCTGTTCATGATCTATTCTCCTGTTGACCATGAAGTCTGTTGTAATGGAGGCATGTTTAAATTGTCCTGATGTTATTTGCATATGTTGACTATTTGGAAATTGTACTAAAATGTATGAATTTTACTCCTTCTAAAATTTATTTGAGAAAGGTCTAAAGAAGTAGGCTATATGGTGAAAATTAGAAAACTTCCCTCATATTTCTTTTATATCAACGATTGGAATTTACATTCTTTTAAACAAAACTCTGTTTTTATAGGAATTGGTGACATTGGAAGATGTGGTTGTGAATTTCACCTTGGAGGAGTGGCAGCTCCTGGATCCTTCTCAGAAGAATCTGTACCAGGATGTGATGTTGGAAAATTATAATAATCTGGTCTCAGTAGGTAAGGTTAGGTCCCCTGTGTCACTTAGAAAGTCACATACTGTCCTTTGTCACCATTCAAAGCTTTGCCTTCATTGTGGTATTCTGAAGTGTTAGATTTTTAGTTCTCTAAAGTGTCATTTAGTTCCCCAAAGTGGCATTACCACTCCTGTTCTAGAAAACAAAAAACCAAAAAACTTTTACTTTGCATATGAGAAGTTTTGTCTCTCAGATATAATATTTTCCCACTGGACGTCCTGTACCCTTATTCAATGTGTCTAAGTCATCTATTTTTTTTCTTATAAACAGGGTTTCAAAATATCAAACCACATGCACTCTCCAATTTGGAGCAAGGAGAAGAACTGTGGATGATAGAAGATGAAGTCCAGAATGGACCATGTTCAGGTGAGTGTCTTAGTTCCTTTTGTGCCGCTATAAAAATACCTGAGACCGGGTAATTTATAAGGAACAGAGATATATTATTTATAGTTCTGCGGGCTGAGAAGTCCAAGATCAAGGGGTTTGTGTATGGCAAGGACCTTCATGCTGCATCATCACATGGCAGAAGGCAGAAGGGCAAGAGTGTGCAGGAGAGACAGCAAGAGGTCAGACTTGCAGCCTCATGCCCTTTTATGTCATCACCATTAATCCAGTCATGAAAGCCCTCGGAGCCTAGTTACCTCTGAAAGGTCCCACCTCTTAATACTGTTGCATTGGAGATTTTTAAGTTTCCAACATGAAGTTCTTGGGGACACACATTCAAACCATAGCAGTTAGTGAGAAGCAGTAGGGGAGTGGCTGTGAAAGTCATGGTCTGCTCATTGAGGGAGGTGTCACTGCTGTGAAGCATCTGAAGATACCTAAACAGCTTCTCCTCATATTTACCTCCCCATTTGGGAACTTTTATTTTTAAGGTGTTTAGTTTTAAATATGTGCCTCCATTGTCTCTTTTTGGATATAGTTCTTGTTTATTTCATCTTGTATTTTTATTTTTTTCTTTGCTACTAGAATCATTCGGTTGACAATAAAGAGCTGTACCCCACTTTATGTGTTTGTGAACTTTTCATCACTCTGACCAAAATACTTGACCAGCTTAGGGGAGGAAAGACTTATTTTGGCTCATGGTTTCAGAGGATGCAGCTCATGGTTCACTCAAAGGCAGAAACATCCTAGTGGAAGGGTGTGGCAGAGGCAAGCTGCTTATCTCATGACAGAAGCAGAAAGAGAGGCAGGGGCCAGCAAAAATAATCCCTTCCAGAGAATGGCCTACTTCCTCCAACTTGATCCCATTTCTTAGAAGTCCATTTTGCCATTGCTGAATTAATCCATCTGATCAAATGGATTAATTAACTGATGAGTTCAGAGCCCTCATGATCCAAGCACTGCCTAAAACCCCACCTCTGAACCTTGCTGCATTGGGAACCATGCTTTCAACATACAAGCTTCTGGGAAACTTTCTAGATCCAAACTAGAACACCCACCAGATCATCTTCCAGGCATTTTTACTCCATACCATTCTCATGGAAAAATTTATTCTCTTCTTTCATAGAAATCGGGAAAGTTGATGGCCACCTGCAGGAGTACTCTCAAACCCAAAGATTCCTGAAGAGTATGCATCAATGCAGTGATCAGAATGCATTTAAAAATATCACTCATTTCAGCAAAACACATTTTATTCTACTGCAAAATCACGATACAATTTTGAAATCAAGATTAGGTTTAGTTAACCAGAAGAGAAGACATGAAATAAATAACCCTGTTGGTTTTAATGAAGGTGAGAAAATCTACCTACACGATAAAGATGAACATACATTTACTGAAATGAAACTCGCTGAAAGTACAAAATGCATAGGTATTAAATGTCAAGCGTTCAAACATCAGAAGACTCAAAAAATTGAGAAACCCCTTGCATACACTGAAGGTGAGAAAACCTTCACCAGAAAGTCTCTGCTCCCTTATCATGGGAGCATTCATACAGGAGAGAAACCTGGGAGTGGTCAAGGTGAGAAATCATCCAGAAGTGTCCTAACCACTAAGCATCAGAGGACTCATGTAGGAGACCTTCCTTGTGTACTCAGCGAGTCCAGGAAGGGTCCTGCTGTGAAGAGCAGCCTCACTGTCAGTGAGCAGTCCCAGACAGGAGAGAAATCCTATCTGTGCAGTGAGTGTGGAAAGGGCTTTACAATGAAGCGCTATCTAATTGCTCATCATCGAACTCACAGTGGAGAGAAACCTTTTGTATGCAGTGAATGTGGAAAAGGCTTCACTGTGAAGAGCAATCTCATCGTCCACCAGCGAACTCACACAGGGGAGAAACCCTATATATGCAGTGAATGTGGAAAAGGCTTCATCATGAGGCGCTATCTAGTTGTGCATCAGCGAATTCACACTGGAGAGAAACCCTATGTTTGTAATGAATGTGGAAAAGGCTTTACTGTGAAGAGCAATCTCATTGTGCATCAGAGATCTCATACAGGGGAAAAATCCTACATATGCAGTGAGTGTGGAAAAGGCTTCACTGTGAAACGCACTCTCATCATACATCAGCGGACTCACACAGGAGAAAAATCCTATATATGCAGTGAGTGTGGAAAAGCCTTCACCACCAAGCGCACTCTTGTTATACACCAGCGAACTCATACAGGAGAGAAACCCTATGAATGCAATGAATGTGGTAAAGCCTTCAGCCAGAAGATATGCCTCATACAACATGAGAGATGTCACACAGGAAAGACTCCCTTTGTATGTACTGAGTGTGGGAAATCCTATTCACACAAATATGGCCTCATTACCCATCAGCGAATTCACACAGGAGAGAAGCCCTATCAGTGCAGTGAATGTGGGAAAGCCTTCACTACAAAGTCGGTGCTCAATGTACACCGAAGAACTCATACTGGAGAGAGGCCCTACGGATGCAGTGATTGTGAGAAAGCCTTCTCCCACTTGTCGAACCTTGTTAAACACAAGAAAATGCACACCAGAGAAACGGATCGATTCATTCAAGTTGAAAATTCTTTTAATAGAGAGTCACAGCACATCACTTAGGAGTGAACTCATGCATCCCCAAAACACTGTGCAGGGTGGAAATGTCTTCTGTGGCAACTCAGACTTCACTAAACATCCGTGTCTCTGGCCGATTGGAATGTAATCACGGCACAGCCAATTGGGTGCCCTCAGAAGGATCTTCCCAGGAGATATGCCTGGTTGCAGTAAATATGATAGTGCCTTTGGTGATCCTTTACCTCTCATTTTCTGTCAATAAAAACAGATAAACTCAGATATACTTAGTATGGAGATCCCCTGTGCAAAATCTCTAGCTCATAATCTGGAAAGGCTATAACTAGATAAATTCTGTGAATGTAGAGACTAAGAAAGTCATCTTTGGAAAGACTTTATTTTCAGGGCTCTTCATGAATTATTGGCTTATTAGTTGGCAGAAATAACAGTGACCATAACAAAGCCTTTACCCAGAAATAAGACCTCGATTAGTGTCAAGTGTTTACACTGGAGAATAACTTTAATGGTAATAAATACAACAAGATTTAGTAACACATACTGCTTTATGATTTGTCAGGAAATCAAATAGAAAATAAAAATTCTCTGAACATGTTAAATATAGACCACCTTTGGCAAAATATTGGAGAGCCTGAAAACAATGAAGTCCAACATTTAAGTGCTTTTGAGTCTAACCTCCATGTGTCAGACAATACACCCTGTGTACATTTCCAGGCAGGCTACCTCGTACCCCATGTCTAGTTGCTTTGCCAATGAGTCCATATTTTTTTTTCCATTGATGCTGGATATCAAACCCAGGGCCTTCAAGCATGCTAGGGGAAAGTGCTGTACCACTGAGCTATACTCTCAGCCCAGTTCCATAATTTAGAAAAACTGCCTTCTATGGCACTGATTATTATTGTAAGAAATATCTTTGGTCTTTGTCCCAGATTCCTTGCAGGGAGCTAAAAACCTTGCCTTGGAGTTTCATAAATGACAGGGATGTCTTGTTATTCACGAGGTCCTTTTAAGCACACCTTAGTACATCCTAATAAGGTGATAGAGGGAGGAACTGGTCACCATAAAGATCAAATGATTATAGGGTAGAATCCTGGGCAGAGGGTTCTGAAGATTGAACTCCTGAATAATGAAACTGTAGAGTGTCCAAATTGGTGAAAAGACCTGTGTGCTGAAAGGTTCTCACACTCCAGCTCCATGGGTACAAAGGCTTCTGAGCTCTGGGCCCTTCCACTCTTTGTATCTTTTTGTCTGACTGTTCATTTGTATCCTTTATAATAAACCGTTAAATTTAAGTAAAATTTCTCAGATTTTTGTAAACATTCTAGTAAATTATTGCATATGAGGAGTATCATGGGGCCTCTCAGTTTAATGCCAGGTTAGATGTACAGTTAGCCTGAGACTTGTGACTGGCATCCGAAGTGAAGGTGGTCCTGCAGCACTGAGCTCTTGCACTTGTGGAGTTTGCACTAACTTAGAATACTGTCAGAACTGATTATAGGATGCCCACTTGGTGTGGGAGAGTTGTTGAGGTTGTGAAGTTGGGACCCTAGCAACTTGCTGGTGGGAACATGAGAAATGATGTGGCAACTGGAAAATAATCTGGCAGTTTCTCCAAGGTTAAGCACAGAATTGTCACATGGCCCAGAATTCTACTCCTAGATTTATACTCAAGAGAAATGAGAACTCAAGAATGCTTGCTGTTCCTTAAATTTGAGGCCACATACTGAGGCCTTATCTCAAAAAAAAGGGGGGCTTGGTGGTCAGTGGTAGAGCACCCTGGGTTGTCCCAAAGTACAAAAAAAATGAAAAAAAAATTTAAATGTTCATTAGCTGAGGAATGGATTAGTATATTCAAGTAATCAAGCATTGGGTGGCAATAAAAAAGGAATTATGAACTGATATGTCCTAAAACAAATGATCTGTGGGGAGCCATTCTCGCACGTGATTGGGCACCTCCCGGATTGGGTGTGAGGCGCTCTGGCCAAACTGTGTTGGAGCTTTCCCCACCCTCTCCAGGTGCGAGATCCTGTCCGTGTGGGGGTGTGACTGACCATTGATCCTGAGGCCAATCACTGACCCTGACCTTGGAATGCTGCCCCCCGCCTCGACCTTCATTGGATGGAATTTTCCCCTGAATTTCTTGTTCCCCAATAAAAGGCCACTCCCTGGCATAACTCTCTCTCTCTCTCCTGCTAGCCCTGAGTAAGCCTTGCTGCCCTACCAGGTGGTTCGAGGTGAGAGCCGTCTCGGACCTGGTCACAGAAAAAGGTAATTGAGTCTGTGTGTTTTATTTTGATCTCACTAGTTAACTTCTATGCCACGAACCTCTTTAATGAAACCAGCGTGCTGGTCGCCTGGTGGAATGATCCTTGCAAATATGCTGAATAACCAGTCACCAAAGATGACATATTATTTGGTTGCATTAATACGAAATGTCCACCATAAGAGCTAGTGGCGAGAATGGTGGGAAGAAATGGGGAGACACTGCTAATGGGTATACAATTTATTTTCAGGATGATGGAAATGTTCTAAAATTGATTGTGGTAATGGTTGTACAACTCTTAAGAATCACTGAATTGTATAGTGTAAGTGGGTGAATTTTACAATATGAATTATATTAATAAAGCTATTATATTTTTTAAAGATCTCTTTCATTATTAATCTGATTAATCAACTATGCAGTTTTATCGTTACAGAGTCTTCAAGTGGCTATTCTATAATGTACTAAATTATTCACATTTGAGTTTCATTGAAATTGTTCTTAAGTTGTGTTTTCATTTTATTATTTATTTATTTTTAGTTGTAGTTGCACACGATAGCTTTGTTTATATGTGGTGCTGAGGATCGAACCCAGGGCCTCATACATGCTAGGCAAGCGCACTACCATTGAGCCTCAGCCCCAGCCCCTTAAGTTGTGTTTTTAATACTAACACTTGTGATTAACATAAATTTTAGCAAATAATATAGGTGTGGCAAACCAAACACCAAGTGATTTCCAACACTTAAAAAGAGTGAAAATATAGCCCTTAGTTTGCTAGGGCTACCATAACAGAATACTAGACAGATTTAAACAAAGACCAGAAGACCTGCCGGCATGGTTAGGTTCCAGTGAGGACCCCCTCTGGAACCTAACCAGAAGAAGACAATGCATTCTTCTACCTCATGGGGCAGAAAGAGTAGGCTCTGGTGTCTCTTGTAAATTGACTATGATGTATCCCTATGTGGATCTGAAATTTTGGATCTGAAGACTAAGTATATTTTATCATACTTGGGAAGTTTTGATAATTTTTTCCTCTCTTTTTTTAGCCTTTTCCCTGGGAATCCTATTTCACATATTGTGACGTTTGTTGTTGTCCTGCAGGCTTCGAGACTTCCTTTTGTCCCAATTTTTTCCTTCTGTCTTTCACAATGGATAATTCCATAACTGAATTTTCAACTAAAATGGAGACAGACAAAAACTGACAAGGCTAGTCAGGCATGGTGGTGCATGCCTGTAATCCCAACTAGTTGGGTGGGTGAGGCAGGAGAATTGCAAGATCAAGGCCAGCCTGGGCAACTCTGCAAGACCCTGTCAAAATGAAATGAAAACGTTCTAGAGCTGACGCTCATCAGTAGATGCCCTGAGTTCAATCCTCAATCAATCAATCAATCAATAAGCTAATGTCAAATAATAATATTCAACCTATTGAGAATTGTAAAAATTATCCAAATCTAATCCTGAGAACCACAATTATATGATCCATTTTATATCCACTGAAGATTGTGAATTGCATGTGTCTACATTTTAAAAAATTGTTCACATTATTTGCAGTATTATGCAACTTGTTCTGATTTTTTTAAGTCAATCATACCCTCATTTTTGTCGTTTACATGGACATTCTAAGTCTGCATACTGCTCATAAAGAGACCTCAATTATTTAATAAATTGCCTTTATTGGTATCGGTTTTTACTGCATTACAAACCTTCCCCAAACTTAATATTCAAATATAACAAACATTTATTAATTCTTTCAGTTGTTTAGGTTTAAGTTTGGATTTTAAAATTTACTTTGCATTCATTTAACTATTTATGACATTTGAGATTATTTTTCTACTGGGGAATGAACCCAGAGGTGCTTTACCACTGAGCAACATCCCCACCCAGCGCTTTTAATTTTTTAAGCTAGGGCCTCACCAAGTTGCTGAAGTCCTTGCTAAATCGCTGAGGCGTACCTGGAATTTGTGATCCTCCTGCCACAGCCTCCTGAGTTGCTGGGATTACAGGCGCCACCATGACTGGGAGGCATGATCATTTTAAAAATAAGAGGCCAATTTCATTTTGCTATTAATGAAAAATTTAGGTAGGATGTATTTTTCTTCTTTTTAATCCCTCTTTTTTGGGGTGAGAGGTGGTGCTGCAGAGTGAACCCAGGGGAGTTTTATTACAAAGCTACATCTCCAGCCCTTTTTTTTTTTTTTTAATTGAAACGTGGTCTCACTAATTACTGAGGCTGGCCTCAAATTTAGAATCCTCGTGCCTCAGCCTCCAGAGTCGCTGGGATTATAGGTGTGCACCATCTCGCCAGGCTTTTGAGATCTGATAGGAAATGCTAGGATGTGGGAAAAAGCGGATCCCACACTGATGGTGGGAAGAGAAAATGGTAGTCCGCTCTGGAAATGATTGCCAGGTCCCTTTGCCCACTCTCTGTGCTGCCCTGCTGTCACACGTGCACGAGGCCTTTCCTCCATCTCAAGGTCAGGGTCTGCGACCCTCCCCGCTCCTCCGGGACAGCCCGACCAGCGGCCCTCGCCCCGGGGCCCCGCCCCCTCCGGGGGCCCCAGGCCGGTTGGAGCTGCTGTGAAGTGGGTCCACGTGTCCGCCCTCGGCGGCGGCCGCCTCCCTTCTCCGACGCGTCCCACGCGGCCTGGACACCCAGCCTCCTCGGCGCTGGCGTCCACGGAGAAGCCGGAGGGGCTCGCCCCGCGCCCAGTCTGCTGCCGGCTCCAGCCTGGGGACGTCGTCCGCACGAGGGCTGCGGTGCCAGGAAGTGGGGCCGTTCCCGTCCCTTCCCTTCCGGGCCACGCTGCACGCGGCTGCGGAAACGCCCGGGGGACCGACTGCCCCGAACCCCGGCGCGCATGGCGGCCCCCGT